GGGGTTTCTGTAGCCCAGCAAGGCAGGTACAGCCAGCCGACACCCAACGTGGGAAGCTCCCGCGCCACGGGCGCAGGTCTGGGCCCTTTCTCTTTCTTTTTGTGACCGCCAGTGGCAAGTCCTATGCACCTTCTGTTCTGGTCTGTCTGTAGCTGATGACTTTACAAGTTCTTCGACTCTGAGAAATGTGTCCTTTGTTCGTGAGGAGTGAGTGGTGTCAGTGGGTGAGGAGAGGCCAGTGTCCGCCATCTCATGGCAGACCCTCAGCTGGGGTTGCAGGGTAGAACCAGGTGACCTGTCTCCCTGGTGGAGCTGTGTGTGTGAGACACTGACACTGCCTGACTCCTGCCTGAGCCCGAGGCGTGGGCAGTGCTGCTCAGAAAGCTGGGTTCAGCTGGCCAGTGTGGCTGTTTGGGTGGTGGCTTTAGATGCTGCTCTGAATGGTAGGTAGCATGGTTCACAGCCACACTCCTGTACTTTCTGGTATTGTAGGATGCAGGAACCATCAGGAAACAAGTTCCCATGGGTGGAGAGTAAACATGCTCACCAAGACACACTTGCTGTTTTTGTCACTTTGTCCAGTGACACTGCCAATGATACTGGAGGTATGACATTTTGCCAGCCTGTGAGGGAGAAACAGCTTGAAGGCGCGTGGCCTCCCCTCCTTGCCAAGAGGCTGCATTCTCTGGAGGTTTCCTTGTCACTCCTGCCCTGGCTGTCCCTGTTGGGGAGAAGGGAAATGTCCTCCCGTTCGTTGTCAGCTTCCAGATCCCCAAATGCCCCTGTGCAGGGAAAGGAGGTCCCTTCCTAGCACTTCCTCCTGGCTTCTTTGAGGGCAGAGGTGCTATTCCCTGGCCTGTGCCCACGTACCCCACATGTAATGTTCTGTCTGGGGAGAGTGTCCTGGGCACACCGCACAAAACTCATGGAGCCAGTCCTGCCCCTCTCCAAGGGGTGCTCACAAACAACTAGAAACCACTGAGCTCACAGGAACCTGGCTTCTCTCCATACAGTTTCTCTGGCATTTCCCTTGCTGGTAAATAAAATTGCTGTCAGATTTTCTATGCTTGCAGAAAATAAATAGCAAATTCAGACTCCTTTTAGCACTAATTGAAAATATGTTGCTGAGTCCTGCCTTTCTGTCTGGGGCATTCCCTGCATGGACCCCTAAGTGCCTTAATGGAAGCAGGACCTCTCCCTGTACCAGCATTCCAAGCACAGCTATCCTGAGTACCCTCCTGAGCTGGTCCATCTTACGGAGCACTTGGATGAGGAATGTGTAGGTATTTGTGTGATTTACATAAGGCCCAGAGCAAAATTTCTGCCCAAGTGGGATGTGGTTTGCTGATCTATTTGACTGCCATAGCAGCCATGAGTCAGAGGGAGCTCCAGGTTTTGGGTTTTTGTGGGTCCTGTCCACTGGCTGGGGTGATTTGGCCGGGCAAGTGGGTTCCCGATCCTCTGTGTGCTTGCTGTTCTTGCTGGGGCCGAGGGAGGTAGCTTGCTCTGTGCGCTTTGGCAGGAGTCTCCACAGATTGACCTGTCCCCTGTGTCTGTTATCTAGAGAAAATGTCTAGCTCTATTTCAAATTTATTTGCTGATTTCAGAATGTACTTGCCTGTGTGGATGTAGTTGCAGAGGGCACGTAGCTAAGGTCGAGGTGTGTGGAGAGAATGTCCCTTGCTTCCCCTGGAACCAGGTTTTCATTTGTCATCTGTTCTCATAATGTTTTGCAGGATTAGTAAGACTCAGCATCCCGTTTCAGGCTTGCCCCCAGCACAAACAAGCAATGGATCAGTGACGATCAAGGGTGTTTCTCTCTACTTTTTTCCTCTTTCTTTTTTTTTTTTTTTGAAGAGAGGGGGAAGTTTTTTTTAAATATTTGTTCTTTTTTTTTAGTTTTTGGTGGACACAACATCTTTGTTTGTATGTGGTGCTGAGGATTGAACCCGGGCCGCACGCATGCCAGGCGAGCGTGCTACTGCTTGAGCCACATCCCCAGCCCTACTTTTTTCCTAACTCTTTAGCTTTTATTTTTTGGTGCTGAGGATCGACCCCAGGCCAATAAGATGTTGGAAAGTGAAGACACGTATAGCGGGCAGTTGACTTTCTGCTGTGCCTCTTTCTTAGCTCTGCCATTACTGCCATGTGCACTGCAGGCCCTTATTTGCAGGACCTTGCATATGCCACTGGGAGCTCTACCGAGGCACTACGCCCAGCCCTTTTCCCGCTTCGGAGTCTGAGAGTAGCACAGTGTGCGGACCTGAAGGGCGTAGTGTGCCCACATCCAGGTGTCTTCACTTTCCAACATCTTGTTGGCCTTCACTCATGTCACAGCAGCATCCTGTAGGATTTCATCATTTTGATTTGTTTGTTTCTTTACTGATTTTCATAATCAATGTCATTAGCAGTCTGATAGTCACTCAGAAACTACTTGCTGGTAACTGAGTGTGTTGTTGTGTGGAGAGGATGTGGTGCCCTGCATTGAAGGGCACACTCAACTGTCTGTGGCATCTGCCTCAGTGTCACATAAGTGGGCAGTGAACAGCTCATGTCAGCTCAAAGAAAGAAAAGACCACTTCCTGCTGACAGGGTCCAGGAAGGAATTTTGCCAAAGAGCTGGGCCTTGAATAGGCTCTTCTGGAACCTGTGAGTTAGACGTGGCTGGTCTCCGGGGCAGCGATGCCCATCTTCCCTGCCCCGCACCAGCATCCCACCCCTGCACTCTTTGCTCCTCGGCATACGTCCTCCTTCCAGGTGGGGTCTGGCTCCCTGAGGACCAGCCTTGACCGAGCCCCCATGTGGTTGTCAACACACCTTGCCCGATGCGTGGAAATGAACTTGAACACTTTGCGTGGTGTTACTTGCTAAATCGCTCTTCTCTGTGACACTGTTTACTTTGCAAACAGCATTCCAGTCGGAAGGGAGGAAGCACTGAGAGGGGCTCCATCTCGCTGGACCCTAACCCTGCCACACCAGTGCAGGGCTGCCCAGTTGCCCTCAGTACAGGAAGGGCTGCTTCTAGTGAATTGGGTTTGTGGTCTCTGGATGGGCTTTGTTTCCAGGTGCAAAAAAATTCAAGGAACCTGTGAAGAGTGTTTGCTTTGCCATCCTAGCTTTTGTTGTCAGACATGGACCAACAACTCCAGGTCGAGGTTGGGCCCCTGTCTCTTGCTTTTCCCTCACATGTAACCTTGCTTTTCTGCCCAAGGCCTGGAAACCTGGAACTGAGCAGTCTGCCTCCCTGGTCTTCTGGCTTGCTTCCCTTCTCTGCTCTTCTGGGAGCAGTGGCAGGCTCAGGGAAGCCAGTGCTGGCCAGCCTGGCCAGCCTGGCCAGCCTGGCCTGGCCAAGAGCTGTGCACAGGCCCTTCTTTGATCACGTTCCTGCTGTGCTGCATTCTCCCTCACAATGCATCATGGCGTGGGCTTTATGTACTTTATTTCTTTTCAGAGTAGTGAGAGCACAGCGGTCACTACAGGCACACCCTTGCGCTGTGTTCCTAGGATGCCATCTTTCTGAAGAGTATGCTTTCGCTGCATGGTGTTGCTTTGTCGATGGGGCTTCTTACTGACTTCCTGGTGTGGCCGGGATTCTTACTTATTGCTTCCACTGCACCACCCAGGGTCCCTATAGCTCTGCTCTTCCAGTTCTTCTCTGTTGTGATTTACCAGTAAAAGTTCTCTGTGACCAAACAAGAACAGATAAATAGGAAGCAGAGACCCTTATCATTGGCTTCAGCATCCTTGTCATTGACCAGGCTCCTTGCTGCCCTCGCCCACCCTCCCGACCCAGAGTGCCTGCAGGTCAGCACAACATTGAGCTGAGTCAGCATTTGGCATGTTTTGACTGTGTGATTGCTGCTGTGAGAAGCCCAGGTGTCTTGTGGCTCTGTCTCCTGATTCTGCCAGTTCCCCAGTCTGTGGTCTTGTCTGTGGAGCCCCTGCCCCCTGCCCCCTGCCCCCTGCCGTGGGTTTCCTTGGCTTTTCTTGTTTGTATTTTTCCCATGTGGATTTCAGTGGCAGATTGTCGAATTCCTTAGAGTGGCTTGTTAGGATATTGACTGGGACTGCGCGGTATGTGTGAACGACCCTGGGGAGAGTGGACACCTTCAGGATGGTGAGAGTATGGCAAGTTCCCACCATCAGATTTTACATGCATCTTGCTTTCCCCTCGTAGTTAATCTTCATTGCTGTATTGGTGGGCTTTCTTTGCCACAATGCCCCCTGTTCATTGCTTGTCTGATTTTTGGGAGCCTGGGGGGTATCAGGGATTGAACTCAAGAGCACTCAACTATTAAGCCACATCCCGAGCCCTATTTTGTATTTTATTTAGAGACAGGGTCTCTGAGTTATTTAGCGCCTCGCAGTTGCTAAGGCTGGCTTTGAACTTGCTATCCTCCTGCCTCAGCCTTCAGAGCTGCTGGGATTACAGATGTGCACCACTCATCTGGCTGTTTGTCTGATTTTTGTGTGGTGGTTTCAGATCCTGCTTATTCCTTGAGTTCCGCACTATGGGCTTCTAGGTCCAGGCCATGGCAGGGGTGTAGGCCCTCAAGCAGGCGACGAGGCTGGCATATGGCGGGCAGTTGGCTTTCTGCTGTGCCTCTTTCCTAGCTCTGCCGTTGCTGCCATGTGCACTGCAGACCCTCCTTTGAGCAAGCTGTCTCTGTTCCATGTTGTGGAAGTGCTCTCAGGAGGGTTTCCCTCTTCTGACAAGTACTCAGTACTATAAGTGGCAGCTGTATCTGGCCTGTGTTCTATGCGACAGGCTCTCTGTGTTGATGTCCTTTGGACTTTGAAGTCGTTCCCAATGACGGTATGTTAAATGAATGAGTGCGTATACCTGCCCTGTCGGGCAAGGGAGTTTCTGTCCAGTGCACAAGGCAGAGGCTGGGGTTGTGTCTGGAACCACACACTACTAGCTACAGACTCTGGCAGAATAGAGTGCCTTATGGCTGTTCTGGGTTGTGGTAAGCCTCTCATTTCTTCTCTTTCCACAGGCCCGGTATAAGCAGAGCCTGGACCCAACTGTGGATGAGGTCAAGAAGCTGTGCACTTCGCTGCGCCGGAATGCCAAGGAAGAGCGGGTCCTCTTCCATTACAATGGCCACGGCGTGCCCAGGCCCACAGTGAATGGCGAGGTCTGGGTCTTCAACAAGGTGAGCCCACCCTGGGAACCCTGCCTTCCTCTTGCTAGATAGAGGCTTGTCAGTTGAGGTGGTCACAGAGGTGAACTCCCCATAGCTCCTGCTGAACTGTGGTATTTCAGCCAACCAGAGAGCAGTCAGATAGACAGGAACCACAGGCCAGTTCCCTGGCTGGAAGTTTTGGGATCACCTCTGTTTTAGTGATTAAAGCTGATAGATGATCAGGCACAGGAGCTGTTTCTGTTGGAGGACACGCTGGTCATTCTCAAAGTACATGCATGTGCAGTATCCTTGATGCGTGGGGCTATTGGCAGTTCCCTGTGGAGAGGCCAAAGAACACTTCCTTATAGTCTCAACAGTTGCAAGTTGGTCAATTTTATCAAGAATTCGTTTTGAGAATCTGTGATTTTCTTGGAAAGTAAAACATTCTGAGTTATCTAAGGAGCCAATGCCCAGCCACCCTGCAAGTGCCACCTCAGCCTTCCCTCTCTGAGGTCGAACTTGCAATCACTTGTAATTCCCGAAGCCGGGGCAGGATTCCCACCTTCCTGGGCTGAGCAGGCATTCCATCTCTCCCGCATGAGCTTTTGGTTCCCACAGAGCAGCTGGCTGCACTGCTGTCTCCATGTTCCACAAAGGTAGCTCTGGGGGCATGTAGTGGGCCCCATTGTGTTCTCCAGCACTGGTTGGCGGTCCAGCAAACACCATTGCAGGTGTTGCTGCTTACTAGCTTTAGGAACCGGACAAGCGCTGAAACTTCCTGGCCCTGTGACTGAATGCGGATTGAAAGATTGCAGGAGTGTCCTGTTTCCTAGTGTTTGGCCCAGGTGGTGGTGTGGAGAGGCCTAGAGGAAGACTTCAGGACCCTGGACAGAAGGCAGAGCAGGCAGGGCAGTTGGAGGATGCCAGGCCCAACTCTGCCTGCAGGGGCTGCTGTTTCTCCCTAGGTGTATTTAAGTGCCCTCTAAGATTTTGTATGAAATGTTCGGAGGTTCAAAACTGTAATTACGACAGTAGTAGAATGGAAGGAAACATGGCACAATGAACTGCCAGACACCCACTGGCTGGTTCAGGAAGGAGCCCACCTTCCTTGCATGCCCTCCTTGACTTACTCCTGGACAAAGTGTGGTGCTAGAATTCTGAGCCTATCATCACCATGCTGTTCTTTGTAGGTCTTCCCTGCTTGTTGGACATGTAGGCACGGGGCCTGGGGCCCAGTCTCTGTAGATGGATTGGGACTATCCTGCAGGTGATAATTCTACGTGTGCTTTTCACACATTACTTCTGCTCTGAAGAGTGGCCCTTGTGGTCCAAGCTGGGCCTGTGATGCATGCGAATTGAAAGATTGTTTCACTGATGGATGCCATGCCATGCCATCTCAGTGCCTTCTGAGCTGGGGACTTCAAATGGGTCCCATCTTCTCCTGTGCAAAATGGCACTAATGTTTAACTTTCCACCTTCCTCGCTGTGTGTGCCACCTTTCAATTGCTGTGACAAAATACCTGAGGTAAACAGCTTAAACAGGGAAATGGGTTATTTAGCTCCAGGTTTCATAGGTTTTAGTCCACAGTCACCTGGCTCCTTGTCTTGAGGCCTGTGGTTAGGCAGAACATCATGGCAGAATGTGGTGGGCCAGGTGACAAATTATGCCCTTAAAGGACACACATCCAATAAGTGAGTACCTACCTGTTCTGTTGTCCTTCAGTGCCTGCTTTAAAGTAAACCATCTTTTGTGGGGTGTGTCTCTGAGCTTCCCACTCTGTTCCAAGCGTCCCCTGCAGTGAGTCTCGGTTTCTACCGTGACTGGCTCTGCTTAGTGGGACCCTGGCCAGTTTTGGTCCTCTGATCATCCTTGGTCTGTATGCCTGGAGACAGCCTGTTGGCACCGTGTTCCTGGGTAGCTGGTCCGGGGGGAGTCTGTCTTCCAGACCTGTCTTCATGTCCTCTTCATCAAGACCTGCACTTCCTGATGTTCTCCTCAGGGCACGTGGAAAGGCAGTTGGTTTGTGTTGTATCTGCTGACCTTCCAACTCTCTTGTTGATTCTAATTCTTCAGGACATCCTCTTGAACTTTCCTAACCGACTGTGATGGCATCTGCAAACAGTGATACTTTTACTCCTCCCGACAGCTGGGCCTCTTCACTGTGCGGCTTCCTGGCTGGCTCGCATCTGCCCGAGCTCGTGTTTTCAGGAGTGCCTGCTGCTTTCACTGTTGGTGTGTGATGTTTGCTTTTGTGGAAAAGAAAGAAATACCTTTATTAGATTCAGAAGGTTCTATTCCCAGTGTGATTTTTTTTTTTTTTTTAAGAAGTCAGGAGCTGGTGAGGGTGTTTCTGAAGCCACTGTTCCGTGTCTGTATGGTAGGCTCCTCACGAGGTTATCTCCCCGCTACTGATACTGTGTTGCGTGAGAGTTTATGGCTTTATAACATGGTACACGCCTTCCATTCTTGGGATAACCTGCTCGTCATTATGAATTGAGCTCCGTGTGCTGGTATTCTGCTTGATAGTTTAGACCTGTGTTCACGATGAGGGTTGCTTGGAGTTTTCTCTCCATTGCTGTCTTTGCTTACTCTGACCCTTCAGTACAGCCGTGACCTGAGGAAGCAAGTTGGGGACATCTCTTGCCTTCACACACACTGTGAGAGTTTCTGGAAGGCGGGGCAGCTGCGGGGAGGCCGCCTGGGGTCTTGGCTGCAGAGAGACGCCCTGCAGTCCCCTGTGCTGGGCCTCCCCACGCTCCTCCCTGCTGTCTCCCGCCTCGCTGTGGTTTGTCTTTTCAGAACTCTCAAAAGAATGGACAGAGTGAAAACACCAGCACCACCAAATGCTGGTGGGGTGTGGACCACCGGGACCCCACTCCAAGCTGGCGAGGAGACCCAACAATAAGAAGACAGACCCCTGACCTTAAAAATGGACAGGGCTGGGGACATGGCTCAGAGTAGAGCACTCGCCTGTCTTGCAAGCCCTAGATCTGAACAGGTACCTCACCAGAAAGACATGCAGGTGGTACCCGAGGGAATTCCTGCACATCTGAGATAATGGCCTTTATTAGACACGGGTGTGTATCTGTTTTCTTCCAGTTTGTGGTTGTTGTGTCTTCTCTCAGCCCAACAGCACATTTCCTTTTAGTACCAACTGGTACTCCCGTCTGGTGTGCCCCAGCTCAGGTGTTCACCTCCTAAGCGACATCTCGGTCTCTTCCAGGTTTTGGCTATTATGAACAAAGCATTAACATCCACATCCAGGTTTTCATGTGGACATATCTCCAACTCATTTGGTTGTATTTACAGGAGCATGATTCCTAAATTATGTAAGTGTGTGTTTAGCTTTGTAAGAAACTGCCATTCTTCCAAAGTGTTTGTACTACTTGCCTCCCCACCAGCACGAAGCAAGAGTTCCCGGTGGTCTACATCCTCACTAGCATTTGGTGGTGCTGATGTTTTGGATTTTATCCATTCTATTGGGTGTGTAGTGGTTTCTTAATATTGTTTGATATGTAATTCTCGTTATTCATCAACTTTAATGATATATTACATTGAGCATCTTTTCATATGCTTAATTACCACCTGCATGTCTTTCTGGTGAGGTGCCTATTCAGATCTAGGGCTTGTGCGTACCAGGCAAGTGCTCTACCTCTGAGCCATGTCCCCAGCCCTGCCCATTTTTAAAAACAGGTTTTTTGTTTGTTTGTTTTCTTTTTAAATCTTATTATTGTTGAGTCTTAAGAATTCATTATACATTTTAGATATCAGTCCTTTATAAGGTATATGACTCTTGTCTTATTTATAACATTGACTTTTTGAAGACCAGTTATTTGCTAGAATGTTCCAAGCTCTGGTTTACTTGTTTTGCTTCTTTATGAATTTGTCAAACTGGATGAAAATATAAGACGAACTGTCTTGCTGTCCACAGAGGTGCACTATGAATACAGACTTAGGAAGGCTGAAAAGAAAGGAAAGTTCTGTCCTGCCAGTGCTACCTAGGAAGAAGCTGGCCCGGCTGTGTCATTAATCGCCAAGTCACTCCAGGATGAAAAGCACTGTGTGATGAAGGGGGCGTTTCCTAGGGACAGGCCATGCTGTCCCAAGCCATCCTGTTCCTTCACATGCTTAGCATGAGTTTGAAACACAGCTGAGTAGACAGACTTAAAGTGAGAAATAAGCAAAATACATAGGCCTCGCTGGAATTGTGAATATCCTCCTTCATAATCAATAGATTTCAACTGATATTTAGAATTGATAGGTTAAATTAACAGTTAAGTTCCATATGAGGAAAACCTAGGCCTAACTTATTTATTTATTTATTTATTTTTTACTCCCCCTGCAAATTGAGCAGTATTCTGAATCACGCTGCCTCAAACACTATGGAGACCGCCCCCTCTCCCCGCACCCAACTCTCACACACACACTGCAGGCACACATTCTCTACGGTGCAGTGTGCACAGGCGGGTGCCTCCGTAGTGTGAAGGACTGAAGTGTACAATGTGTTCCCTGACTGTGAGACTTGAAATTGTGCATCTAGGGAAGCCCCGAGTACCTGGAGATGAACTAACATGAGTCAAAGTTTGAACAAGATGATAATGAAAATATGATGTCAAAACTTGTATTATACAGTTAAAACAGGGCTTTATGGAAGCATAGCTTTAGCTCTTAGAAAGCAGCGACACAAAGTTGATTAATACAGAAGTTCAACTGGATGGACATTCTGTCATCCAGACAGTGAAACATTTTATCACCTGTAATCCTAACGGTTGGAAATAGGTGGGTTTTTGTAACATCAACTGTTTGATTGGACTCCACCCAGAGGCAGTGAGCAGCCTGCCTACATCACTGAACCTGTGACTCTCAGAAACGTCTGGACACACACAGTGCTACTGTTCCTTCAGTTACTTGCTGAAATGTTATTTATTCTTTTTTGCATTAGGCTTCTCTCCTTGACCTTCTTCTTGTTTTTTGTTTTGTTTCATTTTTTTTCTTTTTTGTCATTCTTAGACTCAAGCTCTAAGCTCTC